TATTTTATTAAGATATATTTATATTTTATAAATGAAAAAAAAAAAAAAAAACTTAATAGTTTTTTGTGATTCGATTTTTTCTGCATTTCATTTTGTCTTACTAATTTTTTTATTAACAAAATTCTGTAGTTATTTTTGAGTAAATCCTTTAAAATATGTATCGATAAATTTATAATAAAACTTATAGAAATCCTCAAAAATTTGAAGCTTAAATAAGCTTAAATAATAAGTATCAAAATTCGCGTCTTATAAATAAATCTATTTTGTATTATTTTATACCCATATGAATTTGAAATCTATTAACAAATTTTTCTATTTTTGCTCATTTTTCCAATTATAAATTTTTAATTACTTTCGAATTGCGCATTGTTGTCTTAACAATTTTAGATATACTCGTGTAAGCAAATGTTTTTAGCTTGTGATATTATATATAAATACCTATGCATATATAAATATATATATATGTATATTTATATGACCACTTACTTGGTAACAGATGCCTTAAGTATCCGGGCTCCACGCTGGGCGTAACCCGCCGTTCACCCAAGGTTTCCAGATAATTGCAAATGTATTCGACCATTTCCATGCCACGTTTTCGAAATTCGGTGCTATCCATCTTTATGCCGTTTTATATATTATAGTATATATTTGTTTGCCTCGATTTTCTTTCTTATTATGATATTTTGAGGGAATCGACTTGTAAGCGTGTTGTAAGAATAGACAAACAAATGATTTTTGAACACATTATTATTATTTATAAACAAAATATTGTCAATGTTTGTTACATTCGTAATTAAGATTTAAGTGTGAAAAGGTTTATATAAATATATATTTTTTATATTTATATACATTTATTTTAATTCGATTTAAATTATACTTTTTTATTTGGTTATTATTAGATTAAAATTGTTAGTTTGTTTAGCAAAATTAAATTTCTTATGAAAAAAATTTTAGCTTAATAGCTTTATAATAACGTAAATAAAATATTAAAAAAATTATAAAATAAAATATGAAATAAATATACTATGTAATTAAGTACAAACAAACTTTTAAAACATTAAAATATTTATATATATATATTTATATATATATATATATATAGAGGCAAAAGTTAAAAATTTAATTAAAAATAATAATCAGAAAAAATACATAAATACTAAAATGTTAAATTTAATTATTTAACTCATTTCGTAAAAACATCTTAACGTTGCTAACATAATATTTGCAGAATATTTAATTATTAATTTTTAAATATTTTGTAATGTGTGTGTTTTTTTTTTTTTTTTTTTTTTTTTTTTTTAAGTTCTATATTAATATATTCCAATGTCTATCAACGACTTGATAATTTTTCCAATGTCGCACTGAGATATATATTTTTTTTGTGTAATTTGCACAGTTCTTATGTATTTGTGTAGCTGATTTACAACACTTTGTTTACACGTAATTAATTTGGTACTTAGTTAATTTAGTTGCCTTTCATTCCTTATGGTTTGTTTATTGGCTCTTAAAAATTGTTTTAAATATTTTTTTTCGGCTTTTATGTGTTTCATTAACAATGTAGTTGCAGTAACAAATTGCCACGTTTTAATTTGTGTGTTTGTATTTGTTTATAATTAAAATTGGCACTTAATTTTGTGTAATTTCAAATGCTTGAAAAATTGCCGATTTTTTGGCACTTTGTTAATTTCTAATGGGCCATTATTATCACTGCCACAGCTGCTTGCTATTTGCCACTTGCCACTTGCCACTTACTGTTTGTCAAGTCGTTGTTGGCCGCGTCAATATCAACCGTTGGCCACGGCTTGCAAACCTCAAATGATCCTGGCTCTGCGGTTTGGCCAGGAGCTAAGCTCGGTTCCGCTGCCTGTTGGCATGTCTAATAAATGCCGAGAAGGGGGCGAAGTGGGGGGAGTAGGTCGACCGACTCTCTCCCCAACTGTGAAGCGTACTATATAGGGATGGGTTGCAAATAATTGAAATATTTGCGCTGCACAGTGGATGCTGTAAAAAATAAAACGTGCAGAAATAAGTGAGTATAAAACGAATTAATTAAAAAATGGCAAAGAAAAAATTGCTAAATAAAAAAATATATATATTTATAGAACCGAGAATAAAACAAATATATTAAATTTTGATGTATTTAAAAATTAAAAAAAATAAATAAATAAATAAAAAAAATTTTCCAGTTGCCAGTTTTGTATTTTCATTAAATATAATATTTTGTGAAATATTTTTATTTAATGTATTTATTACATTAAATAATAATTATCATAGATTTATTATTATTACTTTTTTAAATTTTATTTTGATCTCTTATCAACTTTTAGAATAATAAAAGTTAAGAATGCACCCACAATGGTCCACAATATTCATATCATTCATGGCTAACCTCCTGTATTGTATGTGTGTGTGTGTGCGTATGCCTGTTGCTATGTGCGTGTGCGTGCAAATATGCAGCAGCGCAGCAAGACGTCTAAATCTAATTTAAAGCCTTTTGAAGTAATTTTCGAATTGAACTTAATTTATATAATGTTAATTCAAAGTACGTGCTTATTTTATTGTCAACAGACAAGTCTCACACAAACACGCACTCACACGCAAACCGTTTATATATAGATGTCCTGCAGCAATCCTCCTCAATTACAAACAGTTTGTCCTTTTGCTTTATGCCCAACGCTCGTTTTGTTAATAACTTCCGCACGACATAGAATTACACTGATTGACATAAAAAATGATACGCTTGTGAAATTTTGACAAAGAATTAACAAAAATAATTATAATATAATAAAATAAAAATAAAAATGAAGAAAAAAAAATATTAATAAAAAAAAAAATAAATAATAATAATAATACAAAACAATTAACGCTATAGACATTCAATAATTGAAAAACAATAGATAAAAAAATATATTTAATATAATAATATATTCATTATTTTTTACTACATATGAGTATTATGAAAAGATTTGTTTATCTTGGCTTAAATGCCTATATATATATTTTGTTGTTGGTTATTTTACTTTATATTTATTTTTTATACACATTTTATAATTATAAATTTCTTATTATACATAAATTTTTAATATTATTTCTTCATTTATAAAATTTATTTAATTCTGTATATTTATTTTCTTTGTATATAATTTTTATTTGATCATTAATTATATTTAGTATTTAAAAAACTCTATGTATATTATTCAGATATTAATTTTTATATATATATTTTTCTATATTTAAACATCTAATTTTTGCTTTAGCATTTTATCACAACTCTGTTGTCCAGTCTTATATTTGTGCTTTATATAGAATAGCGTTGATAATGTGATGATAATGCTGCTGCCTGTTGAGCTCATCATAATCATGATGATGATGATTACGACGATGACGATGACGCTCTCAATGAGACAGTCAGAGCAGTGCCTGTCATCTGGTATTTGGCAGGCATTCCTCGTAACATTCCAAGGCGACCATCGCAGGCTTCCCACTCGCTTTTATTTTATTTAATTTTTTCCCTCTCTTGTTCTGCTTCTTTCTATTTCTGCTGCATTGAATCTCTAAGAATTGTCTGCGTTTTCATCTTGCTCTAGGACATACATTAACTGTGTGTGTGTGTGTATGAGAGTGAGTGTGAGTGCGTGGGTGTTTGATTGGGTCATGAGACGCCACCCACAGCACAGCCACACACAGTTTTGTGAAAAGTTCATTAATAAACTTTCGTTTGCTGCTGTCGAATTCAGAGAGCTCTCTGCATTCACGTCCCCATTTACAGCTCCCTTGCCCACACGCTGCCCCTGCCCCATTTATTTCGCCCTCAACTAAATGTTGTTTAGCTTCAACAAGTGGCATGCTACGCTCCGTTCTGCTCTGCGTGCGTGTGTGTGTGTGTGTGTGGGTTCTGCTCTCGTTCTGCTGCTGCTGTGTTGGTTGTCATCCTTGTTGTCTAGAGCCCGACACCAACAGAATTTTATTTAATGGGAAATTTCTGCTGCAGCCGCGCGCATTTAATTGCTCTAGAAATGTCTTTTTATTGACTTTTACTTGAACTCCTCTTCATGCGCCATACCCAAACGCGCTACAATGCGGCACAGTCTCTAAGGTTTGAGCTAAGATTTTGGCCTAAATCATAATACAATTATGGCCTAATACATAGCTAATAAATTGATTAACTAATTGATTGAATTATGAAGAGGAAACTTGGAATGGAATGGAAGTTAAATTTATTTTATTTATATGGTACAGCTTAAAATGAAAATGAGGAATACAAATTTCGCTAAATAATTATTAAATAATGATAATGAATATAAATCTATAAACCTATTGAATAAATAAATGAATAAAATTGTAAACCTCGTGAGCGGCTTTATGTAGATTTTTTCCTAACTCTAAAGTTTTATACGAATTATTTTATGTTATGTAAATTATTTAAAAAGGAATTAATTTAATATATAGAATTGAATCCAAAATCGCAATATCTTGAATTTCTGCAAATATAAAATGCCTTTAAAAGCTTTTATTATTTTTATTTGCTTTATAGATTCAATCCAGTCTAGACATAACTAATTTTCATAATACTCAATTGATACATATTCCTTAAATATTTATAGTTATTTGCCAAATTTGATTAAAATTATATGAAGATTTAAGATTTAACTAAAAATTGATTCCATTTAAAGTAGAGTTAATAAAGTTCGCCTTAGCCGCACCTGTTGCTTGCTGAGCGTGGATTTTTTTCCCCCCGCTTGGCTCCTGGGCGAAGCAACGCAGCGCCGCTCGCGTCTCATAAAGCAATTATGCAATTTGCACAGACTGTGGTGACAATAACTGCGCAAGACAGTTTATGAGTGGATGGATGAACTGTGAGGTAGAAGCTAGAAGCAGAAAAGCTCTTATTATGACACCCGATTCTGGTTCAAGGTTGTTGCCGAAGGCAGACCCATATACAAATGTTCAATATGCTAATCCAAATTGCATAGCTAATCCGGTTCGTTTATTGCCCATAGGTTAGCCAAAATGATGCACTATCGCAAGGCCGAGAATGTGGAGCAGGAGTTGAGCAAAAATGATTTACCCTTTGAGGATTGCTTGCCAAAGGCGCACAAGGATTTTCTCTGGATGCACGTAAGTGAATAACAGTATTATATCCATACTGAATGAATATTCATGAAATCCAATCAACAGGTCAAGGGCGGCACCAAGGTGAGCAATGTGATTGGCTATGCACAGTCGGCGCTGGATAAAGGCGAATATCGCAGCCTGGTCTGGAGCGGTTCTGGTGGCGGTGTTGTAAAGACCATATCCTGCGCTGAGGTGCTGAAGCGCAGCCATCCGCTATACCAGGTCACGCGCATGGGCTATACGAGGTAAACTGTTAGACTAGAGATGGACTGAAGGGTGTTTAATGTATGTAATCCTTGCTTGCAGCGTGGAGGAGCACTGGAAACCACAAATGGATGGCCTAGAGGAGATCGTTGTCAATCGCAAAATACCCACATTACATATACTCATGAGCCTGGACGAACTGGACGATAGTATAGATGGGTTGGTGCTCAATCTAAATTGATTATAATTTTCATTATTTCTGATCTATTCTTATTTTATAGTTTACAGAAACCCAATACAACTAGTGATTTCTGGCAGCATGATGAGCCGCCTGCTAATCGACTTGCAGCTGCCCATAGATCTGCGCCCGCCAATGGACCTGCTCCCGTCAATAGATCAGCTCCTGCAGCTAGAGGCACAAATAAACGCCAAAGATTTGGACGCAACAAACCGCAACAGCAGCAATCTCAACAAAATCAGCAAAGCCAAAGCAAACCTGCAACCGAAAGTGGAGCCAGTGAACATACCTAACATACTAAGCTATTGAAAGGACGGTTTAGTAGTGAAATGGAAGGAATAGGCCGAATAGACCTAATCAGTGTCTTCTAAATAGAAATATAATATACAAATGTCAGAAATGGTTTGCTGCGTTAATATAAATCTCTCGAAATTTTCTTGTGAGTCATATATTCTGTAAATGATTTATATATATATTTTATATAATAATATTTTCACAAACAATGTGTGACTGAAAATAAAGTTTTAAGGCAGTTGCTCCAAGAGTCTGCCACTTCCCATAAAAATGTTATTGCATACTTTTGTGCTGCACAATTAAAACCACTGAAGACGCCTTTTAACATAAGCAGTTGCTGTAGCTTAACAGCCGCTTTTACAGTCAGGAAGTTGATTTTTAACAGCGTACCTACGCCTAGTGTATATGCAATGAACATTTTAATGATTAGGACGTTTCTCATTTATATTATTTAAGGCTGCCATTATTACTAATAGTTTGTCTAGTCTTATATATAATAAAGAATTCTTGAAAAATGTATGAATTCTTATGTTATTGAATGCGAAACATTCCAATAATTATAAATTTCAAAATATATATAAATAAAATGTAATTTATAATATATATATTACAATATTTTATAAAATATAAGTCAAATATCTATAACTAAATATAAAATATAATATAAAAGTAAATATAAAAAGGTTATAAATATATTTAAAATTCTTAAAATATTTTACCCAATCACAAATCGCATATACTCCGCGTATTTTAATGTATTCAATCCAAAAACCAACAATGTCAGCCGGTTACACTTTTATAATATTTGTATAGATAGATTTAATCGTAGTATTGTACCATTGTATAGTATATTTACTTAAGTTGATAAGCGGCGAGAAATCTAATCGGTGCCATAACACTCAATTGCCACGATGCTTGAGTTTCAGTGTGAAAAATGCTTCGCTTGGGACGTGTCTTGCGGACGGCTGCATTGCAGCAGCAATTGCGATTAATGAGCGGAACGCAGACGTCTGTTGGTGGCGGAGATGCGGTGCCCAAACATTGCGATGTTCTGATCATTGGAGGCGGCGGCATGGGCGCCTCCTCAGCCTATTGGCTGAAGAAGAAAGCCGAACAGAAGAAGCTCAGTGTGCTGGTTGTGGAGCGAGATGCGGGCGTAAGTTGCGTCTTAAAACTATAAAGGCTTATACAAAAGCGTTAGCTCCCTTCCACAGTATACGACTGCATCAACTGTGCTCTCAGTGGGCGGCGTGCGGCAACAGTTCTCGCTGGCAGAGAACATAAATATGTCGCTGTTTGGCTACGAATTCATATCCGACTGCCGCAGCCATTTGGGTGACGTGGAACTGAACTTTCAGCCCCATGGCTATCTAATCTTGGCCAGCGCGAATGGCGCAGAGATCCTCAGTCGCAACTCCAAGCTGCAGAATGAGCTGGGCGCCTGCAATGAGCTGCTTGGTCCGGCGGCGTTGAGCAGTCGCTTTCCCTGGCTCAGCACGCACGGCATCGAACTGGGATGCTATGGGCTCAATAAGGAGGGCTGGTTCGATCCGTGGGCCCTGCTGATGGGCTTCAAGAAGCAGGCACGTGCCTATGGGGCACAGTTCGCCAATGGTGAGGTGACGGGCTTTGAATACGATGCAGCTGGTCAGCTCTCTGCAGCTGTGGTAAGCTCAGCGGATGGCAGTAAACACTCCGTGAAGTTCGATAATTGTGTGCTGGCTGCGGGTGCACATTCCGGACAGGTGGCGCGGCTGGCTAACATTGGCACTGGCAAGGACCTGCTGAGCGTGCCGCTGCCCGTGGAGCCGCGCAAGCGTTATGTCTACGTCTTCAATACACAGGGACGCAATTGTCCGGGGTTGGCCACGCCTCTGACTGTGGATCCCGATGGCACTTACTTCCGGCGCGATGGCCTTGGCGGCAATTTTCTGGGCGGTCGCAGTCCGGCGGATCACGAGGAGCCCAGCTGCGATACCCTCGATGTGGACCATGGCTACTTTGAGTCCGATGTCTGGCCCACTCTGGCCAGCCGTGTGCCCGCCTTCGAGTCGGTCAAGGTGCAGAGCAGCTGGGCCGGCTACTACGATCACAATTGCTTCGATGCCAATGGCATCATTGGAAGGCATCCGCACTACACGAATCTATTCATCGCCACCGGTTTCAGTGGCCATGGCATACAGCAGACGCCAGCGGTGGGTCGAGCCATTGCCGAGCTAATACTGGATGGAAAATATACCACACTTGATCTCAGTCGATTGGGCTTTGAGCGTCTGGTGGCACAGCAGCGCATGCTGGAGGTGAACATTGTCTAGAAACTGAAGAAGAAGTACCTAAAATATGTAAATAAATTATTAGTTTGTTGTTTCGATTTATTGCAATTGTTTGGTTTTTCTTTCATTTTTTAAATATTTTTTTCTGTATATAGTTTATGATAGTAAACTTCACTTTCGTTACAATTGCTTTTCCATTTCATTGAGAGGGTTTCTGGGGCGGAAAAGAAAAAGGAAAAATCTGTCGCGTATAATGGATGTGAGTGTGTCTACATATAATTTATTTAAAATAAGAATTTAATTATATATATATAATCATGTAACGATTACGGAATCAAGTGACGCATCGTTTGTTTTACAGTTGCCTTGTTTTTGTTTTTCAACTTGTTTGCGTTTGTTAATAATTATATAGATTTTTATATATTTGTCGTTCGAACTACATACACAAGAATTTGCAAAATAAATTTTGTTCAGTTGTTTACTATTTGTTTTTCTTCTTAAATATGCCGCTCAATTCAAATTTCCATTTCTTGCTCTCTGTTTCTGGTCGTTCGTGTTGTGAGAACCAAAAAACATAATGCGTTTATCTCGGATCTAATGCAAGCTATTAGTAAATATATATATATATTATAAATATGTTTAAGTGAGTTGTGTGTATGTATGAATGATTGCAACAATTTCTTTTTGTTTGTTTGTCAATCATTTTTTTAATGCTTAATGCTTTTTTTGTTTGTTAGTTTTTTTTTCTGTTCGTGGTGTTCCTATTATTATTGTTGTGTTTGTTGTTATTGTTGTTGCTGCTACTACTGCTGCTGCTGCTGTTGCTTCTTTAGGCTTCGCTTTCGCCTGGTGCCGCATTCTCCTCCTCGTTAATGGGCACAATTAAATTCTCCTTGGACATGAGATTGTATTTTGTGACAAAGTGTGTAAATCGGTGGCATAAATACGTCTCAGCCTCAAATTCGTCAAAGATGCGACGATGATGGAAATACGCATGCGAGAAGATGCGATAGACACGCCGACATACCGATCCCAGCTTCGTCACCGACGACTCCTTGATCGAAACTCTGTGATTAAGCGTAACACTTCACTCATTATGTGGCTTAGTTGCTTTATGTGGATCAACAAACATACCTGCTTGGAAAATATTTATTGCTATTGAGCAGACAAGCGGCACCGTCCAGCGTGTGGCGTGTATAATCAATCGCGGGGCACTCTTTGGGCGTTTTGTGTGCCGCACACAGGAATATCCATTGATCGGTGGCCGTCATCTGTGTACATGTCGAGGGTGAGCATTGTTTCTGCAGTCGCACAGCCAGCCCATTCAATTCCATGCAAAACTGTCGCAAATGCTCATATTTCCAGACGCCCTCGTCCTGGGCCTCTGGCATGGTCAATATTAGCTCTACATTCGACGGATCTCGCTTGATCATCTGCTGTATATATTGCTGCACAGCCAGTGTGCTGTCCATTTCCTCGAGCGGTTCATCGGGCCAGCGACAGAAATCCTGTGCAACAGGGGAAAGTTATAGTAAACGAGGTTTACCATTTCATTTATTTAATTTATGACTTACCTTGGATTTTGTGCCTGGTCGGTTCCTACGCAATATTGTCGAGCCGTCAGCCATCTTCATGTTTCACCTTGCCTCGGCCGTAAGGAAGGAATAAAACAACACACACTCACACACACGCACGCTCAGACACAGGCAGTAAGACTTTTGGTGCCCAGCAGCAGTTGTGTAGACAACGAAGCTATGTAAAATCTGTGGGAGCCAAGCGCTCTACAAGTCGCAGGCGTTATGTTTGTTGGCTAGCCAAATGCAGTAATTAGTTTGAACTAAGTACCCTAGTTATTATTTTCGTTTACACATTTCACATTTAATTAATTACAAATTGAGCTACAACACTTCGCTTTGTGCGAGAAAATTTCTGACAAAACTACGACATACATACATATAGGGCTGGGTTATCGATATCGGTTTTTAGTCTACAGGCCGCAGTCTGCTGTTGGACACAGTGGCAACTCTGCATTCCCAATTCACTGCATCCCTGGCTGCATGTTTATCGTTATCGTTAATCAGCACCAGTCGTCATCATCAGTCAGCTTGCAAAACTATACGGATTGTAATTGCGTGTTATTATTGCTATAAACTGCGTTCATAATTATTTAAGAAGTGTCTATTATAGAATTTAAAGCCTAACTAACTGCAAACATGTCCTACGCGTATTTGTTTAAATATATTATCATTGGCGACACTGGTGAGTGCTGATCAAAATATCCATATGACAGTGTCTGAGTGAAAATTATAGTGCTTGAATTGTGTAGACAACACAACAACAAAACAAAGGCAACGAAAACTGCCAAACTGCGTAGTGTTTCAAATAGTGTGTTTGCCCTTTAGCTGCATCTCAAGTCCGAGTCGTCAAGTGCAGTGAATAGAGAGCAGCAGCTGCAATGCAGCCCACGATAAAGCCCACACAGCAAGGAAAAATCAATAAAACCATAACAACGCCTCGGCATAGAAAGGCGCGGGCGTTACTCCACACTGTTGAAGTTAACAGTTGCTTACTGTGTACATACGCAAGGGGGAGCAGTCGGTCGTATGTTAGCGACCTGCTGTTGCCTGCCTGCCTGCCTGCTGAGTCAACCGTTGCTCGACCCACCAACAGCCCAACAACCCCAAATCGGCAAACTTCTGCTTGCACGCATTTTACCATGATTTTTGCTCTTTTGGCTGTTGTCCATAAAGTCTGCAAGAGACAACAAAAAATATCTATTTCATTACATTCTGCTCCGCTTATCAGCACTGTCCATATGTATATATGCATACACACATACATGTAACCACACAGACAAAGCTTCTGATTTACAGCAATTAAACAGCTGTTGATTTCGTATAGGACTTTGCAAATTTCCTTCATGCTGTTATCTGCGACTTTTTTCTCCAATAAGGGTATTTAGCAGATTTTTGTTGCTCTCGATTAAAACAGTATTTTTTCTGATTAATGTTTGCGGGGTTTATATAATATAAGAAGCATATGGTATTGCTATGATATCATTATATTATTTCATAATAGCGATATTAAAATAATTTTTCTGACTAGGGAATTACAAAACCTATTAAGTGGTATTTTTATCATACAATGTGATTTTATATCTAGTTGGACATATTGAGAGATGTTTTTTGGTCAGATACCAAAAAATTGGAATAGACAGAATTGTTTACCTGATTACCCTCATTATTTTTAATCCAGTAAAAAAATGTTTTTACTATAATATATTCATGGGTTTAAAGAAATATATGTAAATTGAACAAAATTCAATTAGAGATCAGTTTATTTAGCTCTTATAATAAATATCAAGTCAAATAATCAATTGAATATTAATCAATTGAGCTCGAAACTATTTCATATATGGGTATTTGTACCGAACTCCATTTATTAAGATCCATACTACAATTATATATATGGAGTATTATTTCTCTAGCTATTTTTAAGCTTTGTTTATTTGTTGGGTGGAATAATTTTAATGGTCTACCTGTCTGGCTATCTTGTTTTACTTTTTAACAAATAATAAAAAAAAACTTTCACCTACCGTTTAAAATTGTATGAACAGCCAATTACTAAATGAGTTTTTTCTTTTGTTGTACATTTTTCTAGGCGTTGGTAAATCATGTCTGCTGCTGCAGTTCACGGACAAGCGCTTCCAGCCGGTGCATGATCTGACAATTGGCGTGGAGTTCGGCGCACGCATGATCACCATCGATGGCAAACAAATTAAATTGCAAATCTGGGATACAGCCGGCCAAGAGGCATTCAGGTGCGTTCGCAAACATATAGAAATTATAGTAATACTATATGTAATTTTTTTTTAATAATATATGTAATTTAGATCTATCACACGATCGTATTATCGTGGAGCGGCAGGCGCTCTGCTTGTCTATGACATCACAAGGCGAGAAACCTTTAACCACTTGACCACATGGCTGGAGGATGCGCGTCAGCACTCAAACTCCAACATGGTCATCATGCTCATTGGCAACAAAAGCGATCTGGACTCGAGGCGTGAGGTGAAAAAGGAGGAGGGCGAGGCATTCGCACGCGAACATGGCCTAGTCTTTATGGAGACATCGGCACGCACGGCGGCCAATGTGGAGGAGGCCTTCATAAATACAGCCAAAGAGATTTACGAGAAGATACAGGAGGGTGTATTCGACATAAACAATGAGGTATGAAACGATGAATTATTGTGCATAAAAATGATATGATTAATCGCTTTATGACCACTTCCAGGCAAATGGCATTAAAATCGGGCAACAGGCAACGCCCACAAATCCAGCGCTACCCGGCGCCGGCGGTGCGGGTGGTGCGGTTAATAGCGGCTGCTGCTAGGAGTAATATGTTTTTTGCCGTTGCCTGCACTTTGGATATCCGTAGCCGACAGCTGATAGCCGCTTCTGTAAAAGCTACTAGTGACTAACTCTTAGAAGGTAGTGGATGCAGACCTATTGTTTTCATTTTTTTTTATTCAAGTAAAGGAATAACCGTAAAAATAAACTTAGCTGCAAAGAAATAGTTAAACCGCAAAACTAGTGAAACGATATCGACACTAAGCGTAATGTTAAAAAAAAACCAGAACGAACAGAAAACTAAAATAATCGCTGAAAATGAAATAGTAAAAACATAAAATAAACTATTCATAAATGCATCATTAAATTCAATTTTAAATAAACTACAGATTAACAATTGTATATGTAAAATGTGTCGTGCGTGATTTCTAAATTTTGTAAACTTTAAACATACGTATATATGAAACAAAAAACAAAACAACAAAATACAAATATTTTTGTGTAAATTTAGTTAGTTCGCTAGTTACATTTTGGCTGAGCAGTAATTGATGAATGGCGTGTAAAATACATATACATATATTACATATTCTATATTAACGTACTATATGTGAATTTGTCTCATTGTGATTCGTTTATCTACCCCTCGTTTCTCCTACCCTCCATCGTGGTGGCTGCTTTTCTTCTACTGCATTGTACAACATTATTGTGTTTCTGATTTGTTAATATATATATTTTGTCGCATTTGATTTGTTTTTGTGTGATTTGCATAACATTTAACGATATATACATATAAAGATAACACAGACATGCATCAAAAGAATGAAATATATATATTATATAAGTTTAATACATAATTATTATACAAGAAAACAAAAACTAAATAAACACAAAAACAAATCGTGGTGATAATGCTAAATCAATTCGATTATGTCGCCGACAATTACGAAGTTTATATATATTTAAAATTAAAAATATTAAAAATCGAAAACAAACCAGAAATAAAATCAAATTATTTATAAACATTTGTATTTGCCAGACCCAAAGCAGTATAATATTAATATATACACAATAAATATTACAAAAATACAAACCCAAAGATTTTGTTATTTAAACAGGGAGCTCCAAGAAAACAAACTATATTCTTTCTTTTCTCATCTTTCAAAATTATTATTTAATTGTTTGCTGAATAATATTTTTAGCATATAATGTATATATCGATTTATGTTTAGTTAATTGATGTTTGTAAACAGTTTAGAATTGCATTTTAAATTTTATATAGTTTTAATTGCTAAATATTGTGCTTAGATCTAAAAAAATTGTTAGAAACAACAAGTACAGCTGTAGATGTTGTTATTAGGCGTTAGTTAATTTTGTTTTAAACTAAATTGAAATGTGCTTTATCATATATAGGTATATTATATATATATGTATACATAATTCTAGTTGCTTTTTGGGCATAGGCTAAATTGTTCTCAGTGCGCTACGTGTACCTCTCAATTGATTTATATTTTTAATAATACTTGAACTGTTACGGTTTTTTTTTATTTATTTAGTTTTTTTCCTTTAATGACAAAAATTGATAAAAACTTGTTGCATACCATTTGCAATTCGGGTGCTAAACTTTTATTTCAACATTGCTCCATTTACAAAAGTTGTAGCTATTGTTAATTTCAATTTGTTTGAAGACTTTCGCTAAGATTGTTTGAAAAATTGTCTTTGAATTTATTGCATACGTTACATAGATTGGTTTAGTTTATGTGTATATTTCTTGGTTGTTCTTTCAAAATGTAGGCATATTTCTTTTATATTAGATTAGTATATAATTTAGTTATTGAATATTACTTTTCGAACGTTTATCTCTAACTATTATTCGCGTTAATAAAGAAGACAATGTGGGGAACCCGTTTTGCGCATGGCAGTGATGCACTGCAATTGATATATTGAATTTATATTATTATAATCATATAATGTGTATAGTTTGATCTTTTTATTAGTATATCATGTTTTTCTTGTTGTTGTTGTTGTTTTTTTAATGTGCGGTATTGGAGTATACGTACAATGTAGTTGTCCTAGTGCTTTAGTTAACTAATATAGTTGTTTTAATAATTAGTTTTCAAGTCAAATTGTTTTTGTTTGCTTTTCTGCTTACATATAATGAATTAATTATCTACTAATTCGCTCTGAGTTTTATGTTGTTTTGTTTTTTTAGCTGCAACAGCATTTGACATAAGAAACTTGATAACATTTAATGCTAGTCCATTAACTTTTGTTTTCTCTTTTGTTTTTGTGTTTTTCTGAGGCCGCAGTGCTGCTTAATTGCACTGAAGTTTGTCAATTTTAGTACCTTGAATTATATATGTATATATTTTGTTTTCATTTTCTTCTACTGTATGTGTGTGAGTGTTCATCTAAGTAATCTAATGTAAAAGTTGAGCTTTTTTAGTCTCTGAGACATCACTATCACTCTCCTTAGTTGCTTTGTCCTCACAGAACTCAATCATATACGAACAGACGCCGGAGAGTGCTATAAATATGCCCGCATAGTAGAAGGAGTCGTCCCATCTGTTGACAATAGATAATATATACATATATTTAATAATATGTAAATTAAATTAATTTCAATTTGTTTAACTACATACCTGCCCGTATATTCAAAAATGGCACCTGCTATGGGCGGACCGGCTATCATGCCAACGCCCTGGATCAGCAGCACCAAACCGTAGGCACAAGTGAAATCATCCAAATCAACCAGACTGACCAAGATGCTGGGCGTAAACGAAAACGAGCTGGCAAAAGTGAATCCAAATATTACACACATGGTCATCAGTCCATTGTAGCTGGTTATTAGCATAGGCATAAAAAATACCGAAGCACCACAAACTGTAAAAACAAAAATTATAATTCATTAAAGAGCTCTAATATTCAAATTGCCTTTGCTTGAATTTATAAAAATTACATAGAGTGGCGATTCTGATTTCTTCATTATCTATCCTACTTTCCTAACTCCCTTATCTACCACTTAAGATACCAACTTACTCAGCATGCATATGGAATAGCAAATATTGATGTTCATCCAGGGCAGATCGCCCAGGTAGCCAAGGCCGATCATACCCACTGTTTGCGCAATGCCAATTGCCGATATGAGCACAGCGCTAACGCTCACCTCGTAGTTGTAAGTCTTCATGTAATCGGGCAGATAAAGATAGGGTATGATAAACCTGTAAAAAGTATATAGTTAGTTATATTATTTGATGTAGGTAATTGACATTGCATACAACAAAGATAACAAAATTTGTTTGCCTTTACGGTTAGCAAAACGAGCCGTGTGATACCCTGTAACACGTTTATTAGGCTAACGACTTGATGTGCGTGTCAGTTTAGTGTTTTATTAAGAGATTAGAATGATATGATGTCAGACAGAGTTTTGTATGCTTATATTAGTGGACTAAGCGATACCCTGTAGTATTTTAGAAATATGCACATTTAACTGCTAATAAACGTTAATCTTTTAAGCAATCACTAAATGCTATATTAGCTTTTTAGAATTATGTATTTAGCAATGCTTGAATACCCCTATGGGCACATCAAGGGGTTCATAATTTCATTAGAATAGGCGATATTTTGAGCATTTGCCAAAAATGTTTGCGACATTTGTACTTGGGCAGCTTTGCGACTCGTTATGGTCGTTGCTATTTCATACATATACCTATATATATACATACATATATACATTATATAGAATACACATTTTGACTTGCGCAGATAGAGACCTTCGGATTATGAATGATCTCTCAGTATTCAGTATTCAGTATTCCATACTTACCAAATGAACAAAAACAATGTCGATAGATTGAAGAGCGCAAACTTTTTATCCAAGAAGAGCGAGAAATCAAACACCGATTTCATGGTGTCCACAAAACTCTCATACCAGGTCTACAAACAAAGAGAGCGAGAGATGGAGAGTTAGATAACATTATAAATACTGTGTAAAGAATTAGGCAATACGGAAACAAATGCTGTCTGAATGGCCGCTTATCAGTGGAACACTTAACTCTGTCTGTATATACACATCATTAATATTGTATATATATATTATATATATTTATTTATTTATTTTTATATTTCAGAGCACCTCGATAATCGCGCCTTGAGCTGAATACAGAGCAAATGGTTGTCAAGCGACAGAGCATGATGTGGACTTGGACTCCAAGTCGCCTGATAACTGGCACAGAGCAAACGAGAGCGAGTTAAAAACTGACTAAGAATTGATCTATAACAGAATAGAGTGCATAATCTATGTAAAAGATTATGTATATATGAGCTCAAATGCAGGTCAAATAGCAAGCAAAATGTAATGATTATAAATATCTTACATATACAGTCGAGTCTCGATAATTTGTACAACGCTTAATCGAAAATTGAACAAAATTCTATTCTCTTGAAAGAAATTCGTCCACTACGATTCTCGATAGTTTGAATTTCTGTGTAAATTGACCCGATTTATCGGGCCATTACTGTATATATTTTAGCATACATTTGATCTACATGAATTGAATCTTTTTGCTCCATTAAAATATACATTTCAGCGGGAGCATCGACCTACACAAATTTAGCTCTAATCTAACACAAATTTTTAGTATATTTAAATTTGCATAACTTTTCTCAAAATCTTTCCACACTCTATTATCTTAACTGCGAAAATTTTGCAGATAAAATCATAAACTAATAATAACTTAGATAATAAACTTAGTATATATTATAACCTACCCATATTTTCGCCCTGTCTACATTCAACTTATATATCAACCCAGTTCCTCTACTCACGTCTTCTTCCTCCTTGGCAATGGTGGTCATTGAGTTGCGATAGATGTTGGGGCAGGAGGAGGCGCGCAGACGATATCGATGCGTATTGAGCATGGCACCGCGATAATGTATGGAGTTGCGATGTATGCGCATATCCTTTAGGAAGTTGGAGTTCCTGATGGAGATGTTACGACGCAGATTCGAGCGATGCGGATTGGGCTTTTTGGAGCGCGACAGACGGCGAATGCCCGTAATACTGTCCAGACGGGAACGGCGCAAGGCCAGCTCGCTGTTATCCTGTTCGTGTTCGGGTATGGCAATCACTGTAGAGGCACCGGCTCCAGCACCAGAACCAGCACCAGAACCAGCTCCAGCACCAGCTGCATATGGTCGGTGCCTGGGTGCCTGTTGATCGAGCAGCGCAAAGGTCTCTTCCTTGATGGACATGTAATAGGCGTGCATATCATCGCTCAGTATGTCCACCGAGTTGTGGCGCTGCTCATTGACCCTCAGATTGGACAGCGATGCCGAATTGTGTTTGCCCATAAAGAGATTTTCATTCAAGGAATACCGCGAGCTGGCATAATGCGCATCGTTGTGCTTCTGGGTGAGATAGCCCTCGTCCGAGGAGCGCAGCGAGCCAATGGGTGTGCCCGCCACCGTGGAGCGTTTCTCCGACGGCGACAGTGTTTCAATCGACGCCAAATAGCTCTTCTTGGCCGCCTCCGCGACCTCAGCCGGTATGCCGCCCATGAGCGTATCATCCGGCGAGCCGAGAATAGTAGCCGTGGGTCCATAGGCTGCAGCGCCCGACGACAGGGATAGAAGATTTTCCCGTGATGGCGCCTCGGCGCCCTCCTTAAGCCGCAACGAACGACGACTCAAGCTCTTCACCTCGCAAATGCTATCCAGCTCCTGGATGCTGAGAAATGTGGGCAAGAAGAGTTCGCTGCGATAGCGCTTGAGGCTCGAGTCGAGCGGATCGTCGATCTGCTGATTGGCCTCCGTGTTATTCTTGGTCACCAGCGTATCCAGCACGGCCTCCTTGGTGATGCCCGTATCCAGCAGCTTCCTGATCTCCTCCAGACAAACGCTCGAATTCGAAAATGTGGTCACACTCTGCGACCGGCTCTCCAGCCGGTTCTCCTCGATCAGCCAGTCCGGATCGCGCATCAGAGCGCCGCACACACACGCATTCAGCATGGTGCCGCCCAAAATAAGTGTGGCGCCTCGCCAGCCATACGAGTCCACCAAATACTGTGTGAGGCGGGCATAGATGAAGGTGCCAATGCCCGTGCCCGAGGCGCCGATGCCTGTGGCAAAGCTGCGCTTCTTATCGAACCAAAAGGCAATCGATACCACGGCCGTCACATAGCCAATGCCCAGTCCCAGGCCGCTGATGATGCCAAAGGTGATCATCAGCATTTCAATGGAATTGCAGACGGAGGAGATGGCAAAGCCAAAGGCGGAAACAATCCCGCCCAGTATGGTCATCTTGCGGCAGCCGTATTTATCCACCAGATTCGACCAGATGGGGCCCATGAGCAGCGGCACCGAGAAGAACAACGAACTAATCCAAGCCGTCTTCGTTGGCGACTCACCAAAGTAGGCCAACAGCTCCGTGTGGATGAGGCCAAAGGAGAAGGACAGACCATCCCAGATGAGCGATATCATCAGCGAGGCAAAGACAACGACCCAACCATAGCCGCCATCCGGCATCTTGGGCGTCTTCTTCTCCGTGCTGCTCGAGTCAATGGAATCACCCGATTCATTCGATATCAAACGCTTGCGCTTCTTCACCTGATTACCGGTCATCAGGCTGGTCAAGGTGCCATCGCCATCCAGAGCAATGATGCTGTTGCGCACCGTCGTGCGACTGTGGCCGGCGCCATCGTTGAGCTCCTCCACGGACAGATTGCAGAATGTCACCTCCGGGAAGAGGTCGTGCTTGATGGCCTTGTTCAGCGGCGTGTTGGCCGGAGCGGGTAGAGTTGGTTGGCAAATGTTGCCGTTCAATTTACTGCTACTATTATTCATATTATTATTGCTATTGTTATTATTGTTGTTGAAGGCAGCCGGATTTGTGTTGTTGTTGCTGTTGCTGCCGTTGCCACTGCGTTGATTCTTGCAGTTGTTGCTGCTGTCACTCCGTGTTGCTGATGGCTTGGCCATCTTGTCTTGGGCTCTAATTGAATAACCTCTCACTTGCAATATTTCGTTTTATTATATTTACTATAATTTGGTTGTTTAAAAGCAGCTCGTAAAAATTTGCACTTGTTGTTGCAATTAATTGTGAACACCGTTACATAGATTTCAGCAAGAATTTCTATATTATTTATTAAGTAGCTGTAGCTGTAGGTGGTTTTGGATTTGGATTTGTATTGCTTACGCTTCGCCTGAATCCCCAATTCCAAAATATCAACTCTGGGAAAGATACAGAGAGAAGAAATTTAATATGAAGTAATTAAATATATACATAATAATATAATATAATTGTAATATATTATATTAAAATAATAAATAATTAAATATAAATATATAATAATTATTTAGAATTTATTATTAGCTAATTTTTTAGATTATAGTTAATTTAACAGATTATAGAGTGAATGGCTTAAAGCTCCTATAATTATATCTTTTTTATTGCAAATTCGTACAATCTGACGTAGACAAAGGTAAACGATTAACTTTTCTAAATTATTTATAATTTTAGAAATATTTTCCCTAACAGCTCTCATTGCATCATTCTGAACGTATGATTGCCTCCTAATCTGAATTCTTAAATAAATATTTCTTGAAGCTCTAAGTAAGGTCATAACAGAATGTCTACAACTCAACCTTAAAATTCATTTATAAATGCTTTCCTTTCCTGAGTTATTTTTGTAAGCAAACTAAACTTTTATGTTTGTTTGTTTGTTTTATAACCACCGGCTATAAATAAATATATAAATTTTAAATGTTTTCTTTCCCTAAATCTCTTTTAAAAGAAAACTTTGCTCCCAGCTTAACTTACAATCTAAAGCGAGTCTTACTTGCAGCTCTCTGCGCTTTTAAAGCAGATGCCCAGATGTTTATGTGATTTGTTTGCTATTTAAATAAATTATTAATTACACAAATCATTAACTTTTCCAAGCTATTCATTATATATTTTTATAAATAACTTTTAACGATCTAAAATAAAATAAAATACGACTTTAAAAGTGTTAACAAACAGATGTGAATACAATTTATTTTACTTCATTTTTACTACAAAACGTAGTTTAAATTTCCTTTAGCCTTTAAGCCCTCACAATTTTTAAACATATTAAATCGCTAAGTTGCATCTCTTCTAAAAGTTTACTTTTCATTTTACTACACTTTGATTAATTGGAAAACTTTTGACATAACTTGAAATTGGGAAGTGCATGTTGCATGAGTTGCACTTACGAGCCACGCCTCAAACTTATATCTTGGAGCTTACGAAAAAAACACATAAAACAAATCACTCAGACGCCACATCAATTTGCTTTCAGAATTTGTTGTTGTTCTTTAATTGTTGTTATTGCAGTTTCTGATTTGTTTGCAAACAATTCGATTTTGTTGCTACTGTCACACGAACGACAACAACAACAACGAGCAGACATTTCGTTTGCAAATTCGCGCACAAACTGTTTCTGCAAATTGGCAAACAAATTTCGCAACATTTTCCGCAAACGAAGCAGAATCATTTCGTCAAACGCCTTCAACTTGACCCCATATAAATAGCTAAGAGAGCAAGAACTAATGCTAAATTTTAATTTTATCTCTCTTTCACACACACACACTGTCTCTCTCTCTCTTTCTCTCTTTCTGCCTCTCTCTTTCCCTCTCATGCGTCACAGAAAGCTTCAACAGCTGATTTTAAGTTAAATTTCGAAATTATGATTTTCAATTTGCTTGAATTCTATTTACGTTTTACGTTTTACGCTTTATTCTCAGTTGTTTACGTTTTTCGCATTTGGCAGCCAAAGTGCCTGTCTGCATTTATTTATAGAGCACTGTAGCGGCTCGAGCGGCAGGGCAAGGCGCCTATAGATGACTCGCAATTATTGGGGACAATTTTAGCCTAAAAATAATGCCAAAAAGTGAGCTGTTTTCTTTGGCAAAATTTTGTGAAAATTTTCCAAATTGAAATTTTGGTTTTTTATTGAATTTTAATTAGAATATTTGTGAGAAAAGCAGGTATATATATATTATTTATGTTTAAGGTTGATATGCATTACAAGCAAATTTAATATATACCGTAATTTTTTTTATTTCGATAGATAATTTAAAGAGCAAAGGTTCAGCTTATATACCCCTAGCTTCGATTTAAAATATATAAATACTTTCAACTATCAAAAACTTTCGCCCCAATATCAATCAATCAGTTGATACTAAAAATTCATTATATTTTACAAAATAATAATTCAAAATAAACTTCAAATTTATTTCTAGACAAGGTCTCAGTGAAGGTTTTCATATTAAAAATGCTTTATTGTTCCGCTAAACAAAGTGCTCAATGAATGGTGATAATGGATGTACATATATAATATATATAAAAAAAAATATATAAAATTAAAAGAAAAAATCATAAAAAACATATAGTATAGTCTAAATCTGTAATAAATTTCTAAAACTTACCTCTTCAACTCCTCACACTGTATGTTTGCCTAAGCAAACTCGGCGCGTCTCAAGTTTTTCCAAGAATGAATCGAAAAATTTTCTGTGCACTCGAAAATTTCTTTTCCTTTCGCTTTCTTTTTGTTTTATTTATTTATTTATTGTTTGGAAACTTGAATAGTTAGCCTTGAAATTTCAACTGTTGATTATTGTTGTTGCTATAATAATATTGTTGCTGATTGTAATTGTTATAGTTGTTGTTGTTGTCACTTGCACTACCAGGGCCGCCAATTAATTCACCATAATTACACAGATCTTCAGTTATATTCAATTCACTTAAAGTGCGTTTGGGTTGGGCCAAGTGTTTATACAGCGTGGCGGTTCTATTGAAAATTCTTAGACGCGGATCGCGTGGTATATAATGTAGAAACACTTTATTCGATTTGCTGCTGTTGTTGTATGTGCGCGGATTGTTGTTGTTGCTATTATCAAAAGTTGTTCTAGTTGTTGAAGAAGCGGAGGAGGAGGAGGAGGCAGAGTTTTTGTTGCTGCTGCTCTTTGGCTTTTTAGTTTGGGCTGTTGTTGTTGTTGTTGGTGTTACGACTGCTGATGTTAATATTGGTGTTGCTGTTGTTGTTGTTGTCTTTTTAGTGGCACGATAAAGCGGCTTTAACCGAAACACATTCATCAAGAACGTTAACGTTTTTAACACTGACCAACAGGAAAACACTAATTGAGCAAATTTTGGCCGCAAATCAAATTGGCTGCCTCTCTGTTTATAATTGATATTGTTGTTGTTGCTGTTGTTGTTGCAGTTGTAGCTGCCCGTAAACGTTTTTAGCCCGGACACGTACATGCGGCACTTCGAATGCACAAATCAATCGAATGAAGAAAACAAAGCGAACGAAACGAACGGAAAGAAAATCAAAATAAATTATTGAGATAAAGTTGGAGCAATTCGATCGATTGAGAATTGGACAACGCGTAACTGTATTGTACTGTTGTACTCGGCTAACGGTAACTCAACGCGTGTCAAGTGCGCGGCGCATTGTGCGGCTTTTTCGCAAACATATTTCGTTTTAGGACACTTCTCACTGGGCTGCTTCAAAAATGGCGCACACGGCGTATGATTAATGCGTTCGCTTGTTTGCAGCTCAATCACAATAGCTACCAGCTCACACTATTCCAGCTGCTGTTGTAGGGTGTTTGTTGTCCGTTGATGATGATTTATGTTTGTTGTTGTAGTCGATTAGCAGCTGATGCCACAGACAATGCTGCAATGAGAGATTGAGAGAGTAGAAGACAAAATTAGCTTAGGTTTTGTTTATAATGATTCCAAATTGACAGGCGCCAAGCGCCCAATATATCTGCCACAATACCATATATCATCATATATCACACCATTTAGCATTAAATAAAAAAAACTGTTTAGCACAAAAGCCGCCACAGCTGACACAGTACTTCAAATAAATCACACAGCATCTTGTAAATTGGCCAATAATGTGAGTTCCAATTTTCGCAGGCCATTGAGAAATATTTTCGCCTAGCTATAGATTGCTCTAGTGGTTCTAGCTGCAGCTCATCACGCCCCTTGCACATAAAATCCAGAATAACAATTGTCGCAGGCTTCAACGCAACTATGTGGGCGTGTCTACACTGAGCGCCGACATATATTTGCCTAGCATGTTTTATTTTAGGTTCAGTAAAGCTTTCTTCATGCTACAGAAAAATAATGTAACCTAGTTAGGCATAACTAAAGTTTTGGGTATAATAATATATAATATAATCAAGTACTAATTTTCAATTCTCTAAAGCAAAATTATTCTTTAAATTATTTAATAGAAACAACTTTACTACAATAATAAAGTTTACTAAAAGTGACGGATAAAATAAATGGATAAAGTTACAAACAGCTTTTAATATTGATTAAAGCTTTACTAAAAACTTACATTATATATTAATACAAACAAACAGCTTTCAAAAGCACATTAAGTGCTGAAATATGAATGATAAAAGCTTCTAACAAGATTAGACTATTTTAAGAATCTTATAAAGATTACAGTTGACCTACTTTATTTTAATTTTTTGTTTTTAACCATAAAATTAAATATTTCAGCACTTCTTATTTGAATAGTCCAATTTGAGTTTATGACGGAAACACAGTCGACTTGGTTAAGCTTCTAAAAATAATACAGCTTTTGCAATTAGCTCAAAAGTGCAGTTATCATGAGAGAGCGAGGGAGGCAGAGAGAAAGAGAGAGAGTGAGAGCGTGGCGCACCTAATTGATTTGTTGTCGATTGGTTGAATAAACGCTTGGTCGTCGCTGTCAAGTTCAATGCTCGATAGGCGCTGCATTTAATTATATACTGAAAATAAAAGTATATGCTAACAAATATATACACATACATACATACATAGATTCATATATGTGGACAGTGTAAACAATGTGCGGCGCATTTCTTTTTAATGAGACTTGAGAACTTAGCTAAAATGGCTAATGCGAACTCTCAATAAACTATTGCTGCTTATCAAATGTCAATTTGCGTTTTGACGACCTGATAACACACACACACATATGCACATACACTTATGTATATACATGAGTGTATTTAGCTAAAAGTACGTTAAGATTACTATCTTTATGATACGATTTGGCAACAGTGCTTACTATATGCAACGGATGATAAGTGGGATTACGTCTCCTTTCAATTACAATGCCCCCGACACGAGAGCCCCGAATGTTTAGTAACCAACAACACCTTAATGACTTTCACTATAAAAATGCTGAATAATCAATTAGCATTTCTTATCTGACAGCAACAAGCATACGACGTTTGTAATGCAATTTGCAATGTATATATAATAATACTAATAAAAGTGTGTCTATTTAATGGCTCTTGTTCAGAATTCATATTTTAGTGCACATAGAATACTAATTTACTTTAACTTTAATTATATATTGTCTTTGGTTGATATATATGTTCAAGAATGACATTATCAAGTATAAAAACTTAACTTCCAATTGCTGTATAATTTTACTGAATATTTCTAATTCACAAGTTATTCTTAATTATTTTTTTTTTTCAATCTTTTATTTTCATATTATTATATTTTTTTTTAAGTCAAAATTTAAAATAAATTAAGTGAATTTAGATTACATTTTATTCGATTTATTTGTTTATTTTGTACTCCTTTGTTTTTTAATTTGAGCTTCATTTGCCATAATTATATTCACATTTTCTTTATTCATAATTTATTTCACATAATTTCTTAATTCTGCTTTCATTATCACAATTTTAATTTAGCTTTTCAATTTATATTCCACTTCACTTTTAACTAAACGGAAACTAAATTATTGTATAAAAAAAAAAACGAAAAAAAAAGACACCAAATGTTTTACCTTAAGTAGGCATCACGTGTAAACCGAAAACCCCATTTAAAGCCATTTCGAAGCCTTTGCGGCGCCCTTTCATATGCAACGCTTTATGCAATTTCACTTTTCATATAATTTTTAAACTTTATATTTAAAGTGAAGTAAAGTTAGCATGTGGAGCGACGAAATCTTATGAAACACTTTAAGGCACATGTTGAATGAAACACAATTTGAAAACTGGCATCACGACGGGTGTAACTGTTACAACTTATAGTTTTGTTAGCTATTAGATTAGTCCGACTAAAGCGGCCAACAAACAGTTCAGTGGCTCGTCGCCTGGCAGACTAATAAATGAGCTCGCAAAGATTCGGTGATGAAAGCCTCGTGCAGAAAGACGAAACAAGTCGGGAAAAGAACAGAAAACAGAATGAAATAAAAACCGAGACGAAGGCGCCGGCGGCGGGGCGATGTCGCGTCTGTAATCGCGGCAATCGTTTTTGCTTTAATCTAATAAATTTCTTATCAGCAAGTCTCGGGCATATGAGTACTACGAATGTACACATACTCAAATGTCTTTCTCTCTCTATATATACTTATATATTTGATGCATTTGTATTTGTGCAGTTATCGCACTACCTGCCCCACACGCGGCCACTTGACATCCCCGTCGCGATGGCTGTCAAGTAGTCAGCCTTTTGTTATGGGTTTCTCTTTTATTTGCAAATACCCTAGGCCGAAGGGCTACATAGAGTATCTAGATTATACAAGGAAATATTTTTATAAATAAATAAATAATATATATTGAGACATTTTCTTCAAAAGAAACCGTATATCAAGATTTTGCACCTGAATAGAATTTTTTAATAAAGAATATATATATATTAATCTGTATTCTCATTAAAACTTTTTATATTTACAAAAAAATCTAAAAATTTTCTAGCCTAGTTAATTTCTACCCTAGGGTATTTTATAGTCGCCCCCGCCTCTTGTCGCACATTTTTACATGTTTCGTCTGCTCATTTCGGTTGCCCACTGTCGTGCGTAAATTATAATGCTCGCATATATGCATGTATGTATGCACATACATATATTTATTTACAAAATGGACTTAAGCATTACTTAAATCATATATACATACATAGTATATTTGTATTTTGCTGTAATCCTATTGTTATAATGCTAGCATAGTTCTGTATCAAAGCTAGCGACCTTCTTTATTATCATGTGCATTTGCTAACTTACATATTGTTATTTAAAGTTGATAATTAAAAGGCAGCATTTGCATAGTTGAAGACTTTGGTCTTTTTTTTTTTTATAAGTTATGCCCCTTAGAGAAGTTCTTGTAGACAGATTTGATCTATATATATATTCTTTATTTATTTATGCATAAAAGCATAGAATGATTGCTCTAGCAATTGTGCGTAGAGTTCAGGGTATTTCATAGTCGTGCATTCCCTACTAGAGCTCTGTTACAAGCTCTGTTGAAAGCAAAAATTAGCCTAACTAGTTTTAAGCCGAGTCTCGTTTTGTATAGACGTATATGTTAATTAAACACGTGCTTTAACATCGGAATTCATGAATATAAATGTATATTTTATACGGTTTGTAAAGCCTACTAACACTTATAACTCTAAACTGGTGTACCTAACGTATATATTTGTATTATATTATGCAACTAATATTTAATAATTGTATATTAGTAAATTGACAAATAAAATTTACATTAAGATTTACTCTTGCATCAAATGAGCCTTAATTTCAGTTAGTCTTACTAACTAATTAGGGTCAAACAGAGAAAGAGCAATAGCTAGA